AGTCACAGAGACTTATTGCAGAGGAAGGGTGTCTACCATTATGAATACAAAGATGATTGGTCTGGATTTGCTGAAACACAATTACCTTGTGTCGACTCCTTTTATAGTCACTTAACCGAATCAAACATATCACAAGACGATTACGAGCATGCCCTCCATGTGTGCGATAAACTCGGCTGTTAACATTTAGGTGATTATCACGATCTCTACTTGAAAACGGATGGACTCACAAACACACTGTTCCAGTAAGCAGACAAATACAAGACAACGTCGATGCACCCAAGATCCAAGCAGTGGCATCTGACAGACTTTGCCATCTGCTGTGAGAGAGACATCCGTGACGTCAGGATCACCAGGGCCATGCGCGGAGCAGAGTGCTGGACAGAACATCGTCTAGTCAGATCCATCCTATCCCTGCGTATTGCTCCAACACACCGCAAGATGCCGAAAGAGATCAGGCCAGCATTCAACGTCTCTGCAACGCAGTGATTTTGCAGAAGACCTGGATGACCGACTGACTACACATGAGCCCCTGACTGGCTGCCCAACACAAAAGTGGGAGCTGTTCAGACCACTGGTGACCACCACTGGCCCCCCAGGAAACGAGTGCACAAGGACCGGTTCTCCAAGATGTTCTACAGCGATATTAAGGACGCCTATGGACCTGCCAAGCTACATTCTATCCCACTCCTGTCGACAGACGACTAGATACTGTTGGAGGAGGAGACTGTAGACCCACATGCCCTTGAACTGATACCACCAAGATCCACTGTCCACTGCCTTGACCTGCCCCCTACAATGGGTGAAATCTCGAAGGCGATTAAGCAAACCAGCTTAGGCAAACCACCTGGTATGAATGGAATCCCGGCAGAGATATTCAAATCGTCCTGTGGCCCTTGAAACCTTCAAATCTCTACGCACCAGCATCTGGGAGGAGGAAGAACTACCACATGACTTCAGGGGGAACCACTTCCCGTTCAAGAATAAGGGTAGCAAGAACGACTGCGGCAATTATAGGGACATCTCTGTCCTATCTATTACTGGGAAAGTACTGGCTCGGATCCTCTTCAACCGACTGATCGAGAACATCTCCGAAGGGAACCTGCCAGAAACACAGTGTGGATTCCTCTCAAACTGAAGCACAGTGGACATGATTTTCTCTGTCCGCCAAGTGCATGAGAAATGCCTAGAGCAAAATATGGACTTGCATGCAGTCTTTATCCACCTGACCAAGGCCTTTGGCACGTTAAACAGGGAGGCCCTCTGGATCATCCTATCCAAGTTTGGATGCTTAGACAAGTTTGTAAAACTCATACGCAAGTTTCACGACAACATGACTGGGCAGGTTCTCTCAGGCAGGTTCTATCAGATCCATTCAACATCAGCAATGGCGTCAAGCAGGGATGCGTCCTGGCCCCTGGACCTCATTTTTTACCTGCGTCCTCAACCATGCCACCAGGGACTTGGACCTTGGGGTATATCTGCGATACAGACTCGACAGCTCACTGTTCGACCTCTGCTGACTGAATGCCAAGACCATGGTCGTGGAGAAGATTGTCCTGGAAGTGCTTTTCGCTGATGACTGTTCCCTCATGGCCCACAAGGAGTCTGACCTCCAGCTCGTCGTGAATAAGTTCACAGAATCATCCCGCCTCTTTGGTCTCGCCATCAACCTCGGCAAGACAGAAGTACTGTTCCAGCCAGCGCCCACCTCCACCGCCCATTCCCCCACCATCTTCATCAAGGTCACCCTGCTGAAAACGGTGGATGACTTTAAGTGCCTCAGCAGCACCATCCGCAATGACGACAGCCTGGATAAGGAGATCAACGCCAGGATCTCCAAAGCCAATCAAGCTCTCGGTCAACTCGTGTCCTGAACCAACACAGCATCTAGCTGTCCAAGCTCAAGGTGTACAAGGCTGTTGTTCTCAATAGATGTGAGATGTGGACCATGTACAAAAGATGCTCAAAGCAGTTGGAGACGTTCCACATTAGAAGTCTGCGGTCGAACATGAACATTCATTGACAAACCTTGGGGTCCAGGACAGAGCCAAGATGATCAGCATCGAGGCAATGATCCTTGAAAGCCCAGCTCCGTTGGGTTGGTCACATGATCAGGATGGATGACAACAGGCTGCCCAAGCAGCTCATGTACAGCAAACTCTCCTCTGGGAATAGGAACCGAGGCAGACCACACAAGAGATTCAAAGACTGTATTAAGTCCAACATAAGACACTCTGGTATCCCTCCCAAACAGTTAGAGCGGCATGCTGTGGACAGGGCAGGCTGGTGCACCATCATAACCCAGGTGTGAGACAACTTTGAGGAGAAGAGGCGAGCTGATGTAGCTGAAGTACGTGCACAAAGAAAGACGCCAACCTGACCCTGACCACCCCCGACAGTTTCCGTGCCCCCACTGCACCCGTGTCTGCCGATCGAGGATCGGCCTGAACAGCCATCTCTGCGCCCCCACAAGAAAAGGACTTAACACACGAGGACAGTCATCATCGGCCGACCAAGAAGACGTGAAAATGGATGGACACCTGCTCACCTATGTGTTTGAAATCTTCAGAAAACGCGTTTAAAACAATATCCTCTTGACCCAGCCTGATATTACTCCATTCTTGGTCTCTCTAGATTATAAAATCTACCGCTGTATTTGTCGCTGGGTATGAAGCTGAAAAAAGGCTGATTTGGATCGAGTTGTTCGACTGAACACGAAGTTGAGAAATTCAACTGCCACGTGATGTCCGGTTTCTGTTACAACCCCAAAAAAAAAAAAAAAATTAAAAATAAAATAAATAAATAAAAACAACAGCAACAAAACAAAACAAAACAAAACAAAAACAAACAAAAAAACAAACAAAACAAACAAAACAAACAAAAAAAAAAAAAAAAACAAAACAGTATGGTGTGAGGTGTTGTACATTAACACACCGACACCAACTCTTTGCTGATTGAAATTCGTACCGAGGACGTGTATCTGGACATGGCAGAAAAAAATAGGTTTATACGACACGAGTGATTACCTCCAGACCACACCCTACAAAGCCAAGTGAACAAAAATGTACTCAGAAAATGAAGACGAATGTGTTGGAAAACCTATTGCACCTATAATACCTATAGTACATCGGTTTGAGGCCCAATATGTATTCCATCCTAAAAACTTACCTCGGTAAGGTAAAAAAGATGCATTGTGAAGAAACAAATCAAGCACGATTGATTCAAAGAGGCCCTGTTCAAAACCTGCACCTTCAAACACAAAATGAATGTGTTGATGAGTGATGGGCACAGGATCTACGGAATAACCTTAAAAAAACATCCTTATCACCCATGCATACCAAACAATGGATTGCCGTTGACGCTGTCACGACTTGTTTGTTTGGACATTGCTATATTAAAGGGAAAACACCATGAAATATGTAAAACTGGAGACGATTTACTACAGCCCATGGGGATACTGGAAAGGCACAAACGCTATCCCCAAGATCGCTGAAGCCACCAAGGTCTCCTAAGATGCAGCTAAGGACTGGTTAATAAAACAAGTCCTATGGCAAATCAGCTTGCCGACAACATCCGGAGAAAAAAGTTTGATGTGCCGACGCCTAATCGGGTCTACCAAACTGACTCCATGTATGCTCTGACCGTAAAGGATGTCATCAGTTGATACAAAGAGGCCAAGCCATTAACCGTGAAAGATTCGACTCAAGTGTACAATACGCTGGAACGTGTCTATAAACAGAGCCCTGTGACGTGGCCTACCGAATTGCTAGTCAACCCTGGACGCCAGTTCATGGGCGCTGTGGGTATTGAAATGAAATCGGTGTCAGCTAAATACTCTGCATGCTGCTGCCAAACACCAGGTCGAACAAAACCCCCCACCAACAACCCATCTCTTCCCCACCCCACCAACAACCCTACCCTCCCAACCACACCACAACACACACACACACACTAACACTAACCATAAGAGCTGTAAACCCCTTAAAAAGTGATTATCATGTGGTGATTCATCGAGAAACGGTTGTTCAACTTCGTGGGAAATGGACGTCAAAGGTCTCAATATTTATTCAGCTCTGCGCCAAATGATTCGTCAATTCATTAATCTGTACAATAGTTTCGGTCAGGTGGGTACTGAATGGTTCGAACTTCTCATGGATGCTTTAGTCGATCATAGCCTCAAGTTCAGCAACCGCTCTGCCCCGTATGGAACCTACTCCTCAGTCGACTTTGACTGGTTCATGTTAGAACCTATTCATAAGATAGTCGCAACCTATTACAGTTATTAACCCCTTTAACTCACTGCTGGGAGCTGAATTGGACAGATATAACACTCTCAGGGGTACCTGTAATGGAACTGTCATTTCATATACTACCACTGGGGATATACACATGTGTCGAAACAATAAAAGAAATGTTTACATGAAGGACATAAAAAATAAGGAGCCCACGATGCAATGTGCATAGACTATACCCGGTAACTAGATAGGGCCTAAGAATTAATTGGTTATTTTGAACAAGCATTTACAATGATAGGTATTTCGAAAAGTGATTCAGCATAGTAGGAATGTGTCAAACTTACCTCAAACATTTTCCAGACAATAAAGTTTAAAGTTTCACTGTTACTTATTTTGAAACAAGAAAGGAGAGAGATGTGAGTACCTTGGGTTTATTCAAGCAAGTGTGTCTGAGTTGGTAAACCCAAGATTTGCTTCGATTATCACTTAGTTTGTGATAGAACAGGAACTTGTTGGGATGGGAATATAAAAGTGTACGACGAAATATATGCACTGTAATATATACATTTCACTGAAACTGAACAATAAGTTGATTCTACTGCGAATCTTCTGAAGTGTTTACTGGCTAAGACTATCTGACAGTGCAAATGTTTTCCCACATTCAACACATTGATAAGAAAGATTCCACTTTGAATCCTTAGTGTTTCAGCAGGGTGCCTGCAAGTGTAGACCCTTTCCCATATCCAACACAGTGGTAAGTCTTCACTGCTTGATGCCACTGTGGATCCTCACGTGATTCTGGAGAGTACCTGATTGTGTAAATTTTTTCCCACATTCAACACATTCAAAGGGCTTAATTCCACTGTGAATCCTCTCGTGTGCCTTCAAATGAGCTGATTGTGTAAATTGTTTCCCACATTCAACACATTCATAGGGCTTAATTCCACTGTGAATCCTCATGTGTGACTGCAAATAAGCTGAATGTGTAAATTGTTTCCCACATTCAACACATTCATAAGGCTTGATTCCACTGTGAATCTTCACGTGTATCTGCAGATTACTTGATTGTGTGAACGTTTTCCCACAGTCAACACATTTATAAGGCTTGATTCCTGTGTGAATCCTCATGTGTATCTGCAGATAGACTGATTGTGTAAATCTTTTCTCACACACAATGCACTGATGAGGTTTGATTCCACTGTGAACCCCCATGTGTTCCTGCAGTCTATGGGAATGTCTAAATTTTCGCCCACATTCAACACATTCATAAGGTTTGATTCCACTGTGAATCCTCATGTGTCTCTGAAGGTACCACGATCGTGTAAATGTTTTCTCACACACAATGCACTGATGAAGATTCTTTCCACTGTGAATCTTCATGTGATTCTGAAGAGTACTTGAATGTTTATATTTTTTCCCACATTCAGCACATTCATAGGGCTTGATTCCACTGTGACTTCTCTTGTGTCTCTGCAGATTACTTGATTGTGTGAACGTTTTCCCACATTCAACACATTCATAAGGTTTGATTCCTGTGTGAATCCTCATGTGTTTCTGCAGGTAACTTGATTGTGTAAATGTTTTCTCACATACAATGCACTGATGAGGTTTGATTCCACTGTGAATCATCATGTGTTTCTGAAGACTACCTGATAGCATTTTTTCCCCCACATTCAACACATCCTTAAGGCTTGATTCCATTGTGAATCCTCATGTGTACCTTCAGATGAACAGATTGTGTAAATCTTTCTCAAACACAATGCACCTATGATGCTTGATTCCACTGTGTGACTGAAGATAAGCTGATGGTGTGAATGTTTTCCGACATTCAGCACACTGATAAGTCTTGATTCCACGACGACAGACCATGTACCTTTTCAAGTCATCCGATTTAGAGTGATCATGAGTGAATGGGTAACGTTTTACTCCGCTTTTAGTAATATTCCAACAATATCACAGCGGGTGACACCAGAAATGGGCTTCACACGTTGTGTCCATGTGGGGAATCTTCGGCGTGATGAGCGATAGCACTAACCACTAGGCTACTCCGTCGCCCCAAACGCGATTTAGAAAATGTTTCCGAGCTATCACGACATGTATATGAGACTGCTTTGTTGGATCCCTCCAAACCATCTGTTTCCTGGGTTCTATTAACAGGTTCTTTCATGAGCTCACCTGTTTCCAAGGTGTCAATAAAAAATGTTTCTTGAGATCTCCTCAGCAAACCCTTTCAACAGATTACATTTGTTTCAGTGACAGGGAAAAGGAATCTGTGGAATTTAACTTCCATCATTAATCTGTGGATCTTATGGAGTTTACTGAAAACATAAGAAACATAATCACACTCTTATAACATCTGGGGTAGGGACCATACACAATATGATGGTATGACACGTAGCATGATAACAAACCTGATACTGTAAAAATGTGTTCCCACACTCAACACACTATATATACAACTTAGCTGAGTGATTTTCAACATTCAGTATGGAAAATGCCAATGACAGGATGTATATTTATCCTCCCTATAGTCTCACAATGAATTGTATTCAGCTGTTTAATATCCAAACTTTTACTGACGTTACATATTTACGGGCTGTGACAAGTTCATTATGCTGTCAAAACAAAACAAAAACAAACAGATGTCTTGCAAAGCGGTGTACAGGTGATATACACCATTGTGTAAAATTGCTTAAAAGCAATGAATGTATTCGATTATTATTCACTTTTATCCCAAAGATTGTCATCAGCATACCCATAGTTTAAACAACAACGCACTGAAATAATTCAAATATGTCTTCATGTGAACATAATTACATCTATCTTTCATGATCAATTTAATTACATGTTAATACTGCATAATAATATCCTTCAGGTGGCAGAGATCATAAGGAGAGACGTCATTAAACACTTGGAGCACTTTTGGATCCAGCAACAGAAACCTCTGAGGGGAGATAAGTTTTAAACATATTTTTCGGGTTATGATCGGGGAAAAAAATAATACATACACAATTGGGGATGATGATGTTTATGGGGAAGCATATACAATGTGAGTGATGCACTCTACAATTTATGTACCAAGTAAGCGACCTCCCTGCATGTCATGTACAAAATTGCTGACCTTTCCCTAGTGCATGTATACGGAATTGATTCCCTGCTCCCCTCTCGCCCTTACCCCATCCCACCCCCACCTATCTTCCCAGCAATAAATAATGAACGGTCCATAACGAGGATTATTTTTAGGGCTTTAGGGCTTAGGACCTAATCCAGTATGGTATGTAGATGTCTGGTGTCATGTATGTGTTTCACCCCTCAAAATATCAAAATAACCCTAAAAATATTAATTGAAAGAAATTGCGAATAATAGCATATGTCGGGAGGGGCCAGTGTAATGCATTTTTACCGAAGTGCTCATCTGTTTACTTTTTGTCTAGGTAATCACTTCCCTTGAAAAAGTAAGGGAGTGATTTTTTCCTTCACTGAATGTAACAATCGGCGTTATCTACGTTGTGTATAACCGCCAATGTTTGTGTCTGTCGTTCTTTTCTTCATTCTTCTCTACAGTAAACACGCGGCTGATACAACATCCACAGGGGCTTGTATTGCTGAATACAATACGGTCCTAGGTCCAACACTCTTTCACCGATAGTGTAATAGGAGGAAATAAAAACTTTCAACTGACGTTCACTGTGTTCACAATAAACAGTTGTGAGCAAGTTGTATTTTAAAGGCTTAATGCAGATCTATGATTGTTTGGATCATTCCATTACAAGTTCATAGGGAAATTAGGTCATTCCATCTTTCTGTCACATGTGTTATATTTGGGATTACACTTTCTTAGTAAAGTACAAATTCTAGTACTTTTGAGTTGAGCCCCATCCGGGATTCGAATTCACACCCTCAGAGCCAGGCACCCAATCGCCAGCACAGAAAGTCAGCCGCCTAACCCACTCAGCTACCGCGAATCTGTACTAGAATTTGTACTTTACTAAGAAAGTGTAATCCCAAATATAACACATGTTACATTCGACCACTTTCTAAATGGCATTGTGTAATCACATCTTTCTGTCAGTTGTATAATTTGATATCATCACCTGGAGGATTGGGATTGGCGAATTTCTAATCATAAGGTCTTCAGTCATTTTCACTTACACAGCACTTGTCACCCTCACCTGATGTGCACAGCAAATCAAGATAATCAATAATCTACTTCTAAGGTCAGTAACTATAGTACATTGCTGTATACTTTTATTAATGCATAAATAACACAAATAAATATAATAAGGTAACAGTTTCAGTGAAGTATGTATGATAGTGGAATTTGCAAATGTATGAATACTCATATGTAAGAATGTGTGTATGAGCGGCGATGTTATTTACATATGCATATTCATATAAATCACACAATGAAGCACACCTTTCAGTGCATTGTTTAAGTTAATTACTGTGTCTGAACTATTCTCGGTCGCGTGACGTATGCACATATTTTTATGTTATTTTTGCTTAACTCAGGTATCACAATCCTGTAACAAGTATGCGGAGGGTTCACCGCTGGAACAAAACTCCCGCGTCACCCACAGGGTATGCCTCATGTTATAATCTATTTTCATTATTTATGCTCAAGTGATGTACTTGCTTATTGTTGTATATTTGTATAATTGCCTTGTATCCTGTATTTGATTACATAATGATATATTTTATACATACAGAAACAAATAAAGGAACACAGGAAAATTCAAACGTTCCTTTATTATTTTCATCACCACAGCGCTCCTGTGTTCCTTTATTTCTTACTCTATGTATATTTGGAAAACACCTTTGTATGTGTACTTCTATTGGTATGAGCATATGACGTATGCATTATTGCCGATAGTAATGCATTAGTAAACTGGGATACGACCAGAACTGAGATAAACAGTCCTCAATTTTGTAAAGCCCTATCTACTGCAGTAATGTTCGCGGTTAACACCAAGCCTTAAGTCGATCTCTGCACGGAATATGATTAAGTTGTGTTTTTGTGGGGGAAACCTGAAAATTGTCATTTATATGTTTCTATATTCTGTTGCGAATATGAAAGTCAAAATTCCCGAATTTTACTTAAATTGATTAAACTTTTGCCATAAATGCATAGGTTTTGTCAAGCTTAATATTATATTCTTCATATAAATGTTCTTAGGAAGTAATATTTCTGATAAATGTATCTTTTTAAATGACTTGTTGCTTAGAAATACATGTACATAAGTCACTGTGTGGCAGCCTCTGTGTGGCAGAATAGTCCTTGGTTGCATCTCACTTTTGAAAGAAGGTGTTTAAATAGGAATTTCCTCCTCCTTGCACCCTACTGTACTTGTATCGGTGTATATCATGCGTCAATTTGCACTCAAGCAAATCCCTTATGTTCGATGTTTCATTTTCATTACCTGTGTTATTTCATAATGCAAAATTATGTAATCTACATCACATAATAAGTATAATATTACCGCCCACGTTAACTGAAATAGTTCCATGGCTACCTCGCGTTACTGAAATAATTCTGATATTTGTCGCAGTTAGCTTTGTAACGGTGAACAGTTTTCCACATTTAGGTGTTCGTGACCCAATTGACTGCATTTATACATAGTCTTTTTACTTTGAATTGGTTGCAAACTTGAAGCCAAACAAATTACACTAGATGTGGTGTGTATATTGGCTATGTTATATCAGATCATGCACACTGAAAGACACAGAGGGTGTGTGTCGGATATATAGCTTCCATCACAAAGAATGAAAGGCGTGAAGGGTGTATATAGGATATATAAATAGAAGCGATCAAACCCTTTCCACACCCATAAGAAATCTCAGCTATAAGCAGAGTCGATTGTACGATTCAGACTTTATCATGAGTTTGTGCTTTTGCAGCAGTATTACAACTGTTGTGATGGTGTTGGTAAACAGTAGAGTGTCAACGAGACAACCCAGTGATTGTCAATATACAACATCACAAAGAATAAAAGTGGGAAGGGTATATATCGGATGTATAACTTACGCCACACAGGATGAAATGGGGGAAGGTTATATCGGATATAGCTTACACCACACAGAATGAAATACGGGAAGGGTATATTGGATATATAACTTACAACACAGAATGAAAGGTGGGAAGGGTATATTGGATATATAACTTACAACAGAATGAAAGACGGGAAGGGCATATTGGATTTATAACGTACACCACACAGAATGAAAGGTGGGAAGGGTATATTGGATTTATAACGTACACCAAACAGAATGAAAGACAGGAAGGGTATATTGGATATATACTGGATAAAATAAGTTAGGGATATTGGTTTTTGATTGATATATATCAGTGTGTCAATGAAAAGTTACATATATCCCTAACCAGAGGCCCAGATAAGCTGCGTATCCGGGTAAAATACGCATAGAAAATTAAATTTCCAGTTACGCATTGAAAAATAATTGTTGCGTACCAATTACGCATTTAAGATGTTAGATACGCAAAAAGTTTAAAACAAATGCGTGCAGAACATATTTATAAAAATATCTTGCATTATGAAAAAGACATCGATTGCTATCAAGTTGTACTGTTAGTATAGGATAAGTCTTGTACTGTCAGTATAAGATGAGTGATTTTTATGACATCATTTCCATTATATTTAAGTTGGTTTTGATTAGATTTGACGTAAGGCAGAATATACCTGCATAGTAAACTT